CTTCTATCTAATATATATATAATATATATATATATATATATTAAGAGAGAGAGAGAAAAGAGAGACCGAGAGAGAGAGAGAGATAGAGAAGAAGAGAGAAGAGAGATAAACGACGCGTGTCGACGGCGAAGCTTCTAAAACGGAATCACGGATGACGTATTAACTATCGCACGGACGGATTCTCGCATCTCACCCCCGACCTATCCACCGTCCACCTAGCGCGTTTACGCTGCTACCCGTGGGTCGCTCGCCACCTGCGCTCGGTGCGTCATCTGCTCACTATTAATTCACATTCTCGCAACGAATTACGATGATCGTTCTACCGCTTGCCTGAAATCCACACTTTTCTCGCTCCTGCTCTCTCTCGCTTCTTTCTCCTTTCTCTCTCTCTCTACTCCTCTCGCTCGCTCTCCTTCTCTCTCTCTCCTTGCGCTCTCTCTCTCTCTCTCTTCTCTCTCTCTCCTCTTCCTCCTCTCTCTCTCCTCGCGCGCTCTCCTCTCCGCGCGCTCTCTCTCTCCGCCCCTCTCTCTCTCGCGCGCTCTCTCTTCTCTCGCGCGCACTCTCTCCTCTCGCTCGCCTCTCTCTCTCTCGCTCTTCTCTCCTCTCGCGCGCGCTCTCTCCGCTCTCCTCCGCCCTCCTCTTCTTCGCGTCGCGCCTCTCTCTCGCTCTCTCTCTCTCGCCTCTCTGCTCTCTCTCTCCTCTCTCTCTCTTCTCTCCTCTCCTATCTCCTATCTCTCTCTCTATCTCTCTTCATCGCGCGCGCCTCTCTCTTTTTTTCCCCTCACTCTCTCTCTAGCGCGCCGCCTCTCCAATCCGGTCTCCGTCTCCGCTCGCCCTTCTCTCTACTCTCTCGCGCTCGCCTCAATCCCTCTCTCCCTTTTTCCTCTCTCCTCGCACTCCTCTCCGCTCTCTCGCTGTCTCTACGGCTCTCTGCTCTCCCTCTCTCTATCGCGCCCTCTCTCCTCCGAGAGTGAATTACCTTTGATCGTTGGTGTTGTATTCATTCCGCGCTGCGCAGTAATATAAACAAAATTCCACTCGCGCCTTGCTGCTCGCAACTATCGATCGCAGCACATCACACGCACCTTGTTCTTCCATATTCCATGCCTAACCTTTTTTTGCTTTGTCATTTACAACGCGCGTATTCCCGGCCACCAGTCCCCCAATAAAATGTTCTCCACGCACGCATTCTCCCGCAACGCACACGTCGCCGCCCCGCGCACAACGGTATGCATTAAAGTATGTATAATGAATGAACTATTGAAAATAACTACTTATTAATGATAGACTATGAAATAACTACGTATTAATGATGATGAACAGAAATAACTATGAATATAACTACGTCTATTAATGAATAACTATGAAATAACTACGTATAATGTAATGAAACATATGAAATCACATGTATTAATGAAGAACTATCGAAAAACTACTTAATTAATGAACTAATCTATGAGAATTTAACTATCGATTAATGAATGACCACTCATAAATAACTATGAATATAACTACTATTTAATGTATTATAACTTATTAAATTATCTATTCGATAATTGAATAAACTTATAAATCACTATTATTATAATATATGAAATAATAGAATAATGCACATAAACTATTGGAAATAACTATGAAATAATACGATAAGAAAACTATATGAAATAACTATAAATCACGATGAAATAACTATGTATTAATAAATAATATGAAATTAACTAAGAAATTAACATAAATAACTATTATTAATAGAATAAACTATGAAATAACTATAAATCACGATAGAAATAACTAGTATTAAGTGAATGAACTAGATATATAACTATGAGAATCACATTAAAATAACTATATTAATGAATGAACTATGAAATAACTATGTAAGATGAATCTAGTATTATATGAACATGAACATGAAATAACTAGATGAAATATCACGATAAAATAACTATGATAATGAATGATTTTATGCCAATGTCGTGTCAGGCGAGTAAGTCTTGCGAAATTTGCTGAAGTTTTCCACAGCGCGTTCGTGCGTGTTGCGGCCGAAAAAATACTGCGAAAACGCGCCCAACAATAATCGTTCTCATTGCTGTTCGCGAGGGGCGCAACCTTTATGGCCACTAGATCTAAATATTATTTTTAGTCATAATCTACATACGCATCCCGCGAAATTCGTGCTCGAACACCGCCGATGCATCAGTATTCGGCGTCTGACGTACTCTATTTGCGACGTCACCGCGTGCGCATGCGCAGACAGACGACAGAGCTTCACGCGAAAGACAAGCCGCAGCAAATATAAAATGCATCGGCACAAGACCAGCATGTCACGCGATTGGACTGCCTCTCTTCTTTCACGCTTTCTCACCGCCCCCCGCACGCGCCAACCACCGCAATTTACTCCAACTCTCGGCGCCCTTCACTCAACAGCACGCAGGCAGGCGGAGTGCGTATGCACGATATGTTCTAACGTACATACCTCCTTACTGCATCCAGCCATGCCCGCGTTCGCGTCACCTGCATGACAACCGCATTCGTAGTCTGCCGAGGCCGCCTGCGCGCGAGTTCCAAAATCAGATTAGTGTGACAGGCCATCTGTACGCGGCGTTTGACAGCCACTACTGCAGCTCGCCCCGGCGCGCGCCATGCGCCACCTTGCTTTGGCTGTGCCGGACAACTGCGATCATAGCCAGCAGCAGAAGTAGTATATAGTACCAGGAGTAGAAATATAAGTCTCCATATAATTATCTTACTCTCTGGCTAGAAGCTATACAAATCGCAGTACGCTTATCATGCAATGTTTTTGTTAATCTCTATATAAAAGATTCATTTGATTAGAACGCCCGGGGACGATCCAGACTCCCCTCTTTGCTTTTTACTGTTATCTACCCGTAAAAATTATTATAGTTGCGTAACACGCATCCCACAGCAACATATCTAACCTGCCAGAGGTTCGCTATGATGATTTCGGTCGGAGAACTATAGTAGTTCCAAAGCGTCAATATAATAACTAGTAAAGGCCGCAATTACGCGTATATACAGGGAAGGTAAGGAATCACCGTCTACGTCGCTCACCCGGGAAAATGAAGCGAATCTCACTCGGATTACCATCACCCTCACCACGCCACGCGCACCCCGCACGCACACACACAAGCGCACACACCGAAACGCGTATCCACGGCGTAAACATAGCCACCAACACCATCACAGCAGCCACCAGCAGCAGTGCCCACAGTAGCAGCACGGCGCGGCAGCCACAACACAGCAACGCAATCCTAGCATCAATTCATCAGCAGCCAGCAGCAGCACAGTTAGCATCATCATTCATCATCATCAGCAGCAGCAGCAGCCAGCAATATCAGCGAGTAGCATCAGCTATCATCATCATCATCATCAGCACGAAGCATCAGGGAGTAGTAGTACTACCATCATCATCACAGCACAGCAGGCGTCATCATCCAGCACCACCAACCACATCCACCGCGCCGGCCAGCAGCAACAGCCACAGCAGCCATGCATCATCACATCACATCATATTCAGCAAGCACGAGCGCAACAGAGAGATAGTTAATTACTCGTCCACTCTCACTCTCCCGAATAATTTTCGCTCGCAAACGCCCACAGTCATGCAGCAACAAATGCGCCACGATGAAAATTTAATTTTCCGATTTCCCGCGCCGAGGCCGTAATGCGTTATAAGCGCGCGAAAAGGCCACAAGAACCCCGACCCTTATCGTATTTTTATCGCTCGTCGCCATCGTCGTCGGCTCGGCCTGTCATGCGCAAGCTGATATAGGCCCGACGCCAGCGCACGAAAAACACACACTACAGAGGAAGATAGAGAAGATGACACACACACACACACACACACAAAGAGAAGAGAGAATACACACACACACTCACACAGCACACATCACACACACGACACACTACACACACACACAGAGAGAGATATGAGAGAGAGAGGGAGAGGGTGACGGAGGAGAAGAGACAGCCAGAGAAGAGAGAAGAGAAAAGAACGAAGAGAGAAGGATACAAGATAGAGGAGCATCCACGGAGAAGCAAGAAAGCGATAACGAAGCAGAGAAGGCACGTCAGAGAGACGGCAGAAAGGGAAGGAGAGAAGATGAGAGAGAAGAGAAAAGATCTCACTGTATGGCTTTACTCTGTAATGAGATTCGTGACTGACCTGGAACTGTGCGTATCGTTCCGCACCGCCATCAACTTAGTCACCGCACACCTCTCCACCGTCGCTGCGTCCCAAGAAATCTCACGAAGCAGACCCCGGGTTTTTGCCGCCTCGTGCAACCCGCCGAGACACTGCGACCCACACGACCCTATCTCATAACTTGCCCGCACTTTTGCTTCGAGCCGTAGTCCGCCGGCAATTCTCACCCAATTGCATCAGACACTCGCACTGAACATGCTCGTACCATGGCGTCACACCTGCGCGCGGCGCTGCGGAAAGTATAAAATCCAGCGCGCCCTCTGGTGTAAGATTCACATTACAGCCACTTGACACTAACTAGTTATTAATCACAGCCCCACGCTATTAACCGCCAACTTGCCAGGCCTTACCTCGCGCAAAAACCTGTCAGCCCAACTAGGATCCAGAGAGAGAGAGAGAGAGAGAGAGAGAGAGGGGGGGAGGGGTTACGATAGATAGATCAATAGATAGATGGATGGATGGATAAGTATATGGATAGATAGATAGATAGATAGATAGATAGATAGATAGATAGATAGACAGATAGATAGATAGATAGATAGATAGATAGATAGATCGATCGATCGATCGATAGATAGATAGATAGATAGCGCGTGAGCTAGCGAGCGAGATCAAGAGAGAGAGAGAGGTAGCACGCATACGCTGTATCCACGTCTATGTTTCCTCGCCCTTATAGCAAGAACACATTTACCTTAGACTTCGTGCTGTGATAATGAATCTGTAATCATAATCTACATCGCCTTACATCGACATAGATATCGTTGTAGTAGGCAACTAGTAGGCAGTAGGCGAGTAGTTCACTATGGTAACAGACGTAGAACAACTCGTTCATGGCGTGCACACCACTTCCTGGCGTGTACGGGGTGCCGTTGGTTTGTTACGGTTCTGTTACTTATTGTTGCGATTTACTTCGCTTCTTTGTGAAAAAAAGAGGAACTAGGAACTAGGAAGTAACTTCACCCTCATGATATCGTTATGGTGGCATGAATTTCGTACAAGCGTCGGTCGTTATAATCATAGATTCAGTCATAGAAATATATAGAAATACGTATATTATTTCTGTGGATTCGCAGCGATTATCTGAGTGACCGACATCGTCGCTAATCACGTTTAATCGACAGAAAAAAAAGCCATGGAATTATCATTCGATCATCTTATGAAATTTCGCGACTAACTGCCTCGCTGGTATTTAACAGAATTTGGTTATTAGCGGGAGCAAATTGAGCAGTTTCTTATTCGTAATGACCCAGATGCAAATTAGGTGCACGCGGAAACTGCGACGAGTCACTGGTTTTTTTTCTCTCTCTCTTATCCTTCACACTTTTTTTCTGTGACGAGAAAAAAAATCGATATGATATTACGGTACTTTGCACGCGAATTGGCGTGTTTTTACAGTCGTAAACGCGTGCGCAGGACGTGATGTGGCAATTCTGGCTTACCTTGGAATCATACAATAATTCTGTTTGGCCTGCGTCGAGCATATATATATATATACACACACAATGAGATTTCGGTGACTGACGTGGGAACGGGGCGTCGCATGGGTTCCGGCACCGCCAGGCAACTAGGTCACCGCACACCGTCGTCACCGTCGCTGCGGCCAAATGAAATCTGCCACGAGCAGCGGGTTTTGCCGCGCGCGGGAAACGAGCGAGACACGCGACCACACGGATATCTCATTAAGCTTGCCGCGAGCTTTTGCTTTCGAGCCGTGAGTCCGCCGGCAATTCTCACCAATTTGCATCAGACGACGTCGTCACTGAAGCGATGTCGTACGCATGCGTCGACGTGCGGGAGAAGATAAAATCGCATGCGCGCCCTCTGGTGTAAGAGTCACAGTTACAGCCCACGTGACACTACCTAGTGTATAATCACAGCCCCACGCTAGTTAACGCCAACTTGTGCCCAAGCGTTACCTCGCGCAAAAACCTGTCAACCCAATCTAGGTAACTCTAGGTGCAAGCTAGGAACGCGATCAAGAAATAATCCGCTACTGTCATGATAGCCGCAAACCTTTCTTTATATCTATCTCTGCGCTATCTCTGCGACACGTGCGGGCTGCGATATGGTAACCTTTTATATTCCACGTACTGGTTAATCTACGTTATAGTTAACTCTACATTTAGTACAAGTTACTACAGATTAGTTATCCCACTATACATCACACCAGGAGTGTATAATATAGGCTATAATAATCAGGACCATAATAGACTATAATAGACTGTATTATTGTAGGTATATAGTATATTAGTACACTATATATAGTAGGTATATAGTATATTAGTACTATATATATAGTATATAGTATATTATACACTCCTGGTCATATTACGCCAGTTAGCTGAACCGCACATCTGAGAGCTGGTCTCCTATAGTTTCATCTGACTCACACTGTACTGATTAATCTACGTTAGTTAACTAAGTACAGATTATTCCAGCTTAGCTAACCCCCTATACGTCACATTACGCCAGTTAGCCGCACCATACGTCTGATAGCTGGCCTCATATAGTATCATCTGACTCACACCGCAGAAAGAGAAGTCGCATCATCTCCCATCTATTATCTTGGAAACCCGGCGGAGGTGTCAGCTATCGTGCTAGACAGTCGCATCCTTCTCTCATCCGCTCTACTCATCAGTCTCCCCCACGCACGCACGCGGATGACGTCTCACTCCACACCGCATCACCTTCTCTCTCCTTCCTCCCCCCCAGTATTAATGAATGAACTATGAAATAACTATGAAATCACGATGAAATAACTATGTATTAATGAATGATTTTGAGCCAATGTGTGGTCAGGCGAGAGTGCTGTGCGAATTTTGCTGAGTTTGTGCACAGCGGCGTTCGTGCTGTTGGCGAAAAAACAGGGAAAACGCAGCCGCAACAATAATCGTTCCATTGCTGTTTCCGCGAGGGGGCGCAACCCTTGATGACACTATATCTAAATATATTTTTAGTGATATGCTACATATCTGCATCCCACGAAATTCGTGCTCGAACACCGCGATGCATCATATTCGCGTCTGACGTACTCTAGCGACGTCGACGCGTGCGCATGCGCAGACAGAGAGAGAGAGCTTCACGGCGAAATATCAAGCCGCAGCAAATATAAAATGCATCGTGTCACAAAGACAAGGCGATGTCACGCCGATTGACTGCCTCTCTTCTTTCACGCTTTCACCGCCGCCGCCGCCACGCCGCCACCACCGCAATGTACGCCAACTCTCGGCGCTTCACTCTTCACAGGCACGCAGGCAGGCGGGTGCGTATGCGCGTATGTTCGTACGTACGTACCCTCCTTACTGCGATCCGCATCCCATTGCCGCGTCTCGTCACGTCAGTTACACCGCATTCGTATTCTGCCGAGGCGCGCGCGCGAGTTCAAAATCAGATTAGTGTGACAGGCCATCTGTACGCGTGCGTGTGACAGCCATACTGCAGCTCGCGGCGCGCGCATGCGCACCTTGCTTTGGGTGTTGCCGACAACTGCGATCAGTAGCAGCAGCAGATGTAGTAGTAGTAGTAGTAGCAGGAGTAAGATAATATAGGTCTCCTATATTATCTTACTCCTGGTAGAAGTAGTACAAATCGCAGTACGCTTATCTATGCAAGTGTTTTTTGTGTTATCTTAGAAAGATTCATTGATTTAGAACGCGCCGGGACGATCAAGACTCTCCCTTGCTTTCTGTTTTACTTGTTATCACTCGGCGGGAAGAATATTGATTATAGGTTTGCGTTAACACGGCATTCCCACAGCAACACCTAACCTGCTGCTAACGTCTATGATGATTCGGGTCGGAACTATAGTGTTGGCCAAAGCGTCAATAAATAGACATAGTAAAGCGCAATTACCGGGTGGATATTACAGGGAAGTGTAAGGTGAATCACCGCTACGGTGGCTCACGCCGGAAAATGAAGGGAATCTCACTCGAGCATTACCCCACAGCGCTCACCACGCACGCGCGCACCCCGCACGCACACACACAGCGCACACACGCGAACGCGTATCCACGTGCGTACATGCCACCACCACCACCACCAGCAGCACCAGCAGCAGTGGCAGCAGTAGCAGCAGCGGCGGCGGCAGCAGCAACAGCAGCAGCCGCAGCAGTAGCATCATCATCAGCAGCAGCAGCAGCAGTAGCATCATCATCATCATCATCAGCAGCAGCAGCAGCAGCAGCAGCAGTAGCATCATCATCATCATCATCATCATCATCAGCAGCAGCAGCAGCAGCAGCAGCAGCAGTAGCATCATCATCATCATCAGCAGCAGCAGCAGCAGCAGCAGCAGTAGCATCATCATCATCATCATCATCATCATCAGCAGCAGCAGCAGCAGTAGTAGTAGTAGCATCATCATCATCAGCAGCAGCAGCGTCATCATCAGCAGCAGCACCACCACCACCGCCGCCGCCAGCAGCAACAGCAGCAGCAGCATCATCATCAGCATCATCATCATCAGCAGCAGCGGATGCGGCAGCAGGGAAGATGGATAGTTAATTACTCGTCACTCGTCACTCTCCGCGAAATTTCGCTCGCAAACCGACACAGTGCATGCAGCAACCCAATGCGCCAGAGGAAAATTTAATTTTCCGATTCCCGCTCGAGTGTGAATGCGTGATAGCGCGCGGATAAAGGCCAGAAGAACCCCGACGCTTATCGTATTTTTTCGCTCGTCGGCATCGTCGTCGGCGTCGGGTCCTGTCATGCGGAAGAGCTGATATTAGGGCCCGAGCGCGCGTGCACGCGAGAGAGAGACACACACACAGAGAGAGAGAGAGAGAGACACACACACACACACACACAGAGAGAGAAAGAGAGAGAGACACACACACACACACACACACACACACACACACACACAGAACGCAAAGGTGATGCGATGAGACGTCATGCGCGTGCGTGTCGTGGGGGAGAAGAGAGAGGAAGGTGATGCGGCTGTGGGTGAGACGATCATACCTTGCGTGCGCTGGGGGAGAAATAGAGAGAAGTGAAGCTTTGGGGCTATACGCTCATCGCGTGCGTGCGTGCGGGAGACGAGGAAGGAAGGTGATGCGGTGTGGGTGAACTCAGCGCGTATGCGTGCGTATGTGTGGGGGGGGAGGAAGAAAGAAGGATGCGGGTGTGGAGTGAGACGTCATGGCGCGGCGTGGGGGGAAGACGGAGAGAGAAGGTGATGCGGTGTGGGGTGAGACTCAGCCGTGGCGTGCGTGCTGGGGAGAAGGAAGAGAGGGTGATGGCTGATGAACTTCATCTCGCCTGTGCGTCGCCGTCGGGGGAGAAAAAAAAAACCCCCCCCCTTTGGGTGGATGACAGTATGCGAAATGAAGAGAAGATCGCGGACGTCAGGGCACGATAGCTACAACCTCACGCCGGTTTTCCAAGAAATAGATGGGCAGTGCATGCTACTCCTTCTGCGGTGCTTGAGTCAGATGATACGCTATTGATTGCCAGCTATCAGACTATGTTCGGGCTAACTGGCTATATGTACGTATAGGGGGTAGCTAAGCTGGAATAATCATGTACTTACGTTAACTAACTACTTTAATCATACACGTGTGATTCAGCATAAAACTATAGGAACCACTCTCAGATGTGCGGTTCAGCTAAGCAGCGCTAATATACTGCAGTATATGTATAATCACAGCATATAACTAATTATATAGTACTAAAATCTATATACCTACTATATATGTAACTAATATACTTAATACCTACCAAAAATACATTCTATTATAGTCCATTATGTCTGATTATATAGCCTATACTTATAATAACTCCTGGTTGATGTATAGTGTGAGAAACTAATCTTATCACTTGTACTAATTATAGTTACTATACACGTAGATAACCAGTAACGTGAATAAAAAGTACCTATATCGCAGCCCTCAGCGCACAGGTCGCAGCAGATAGCGCAGAGATAGATATAAATAAAAGGTGC